CGTCATATTGTAGACCAAATATCACTGTTTGTTCTTTATATTTCCATGGAAATCAATTGCAAAGAAAAAAAATATCCGGGGCCACTAACTAATAATTGTGTAAAATATTCAGATAAAGAGTTCCCCTTTGATTAAGATATTATTTTTTTCATCTTAGCCTGGATTCAACCAATTTGAAATCAACATTATATTTCTGTGTAGGTGCAAATGTATACAATTTGAACCACGGGCTTGTTCAACAACTGAGCATCTATTAGTTTGGTAACTGACTGTAATGAAAAAAAAAACACAACAAAATGTTATTCCAGATCAAAATACTTTACTTACATTCTTTTGGAAACACATTATTTAAAAGACGTATACAGAGGTAGGGGCTTCTGATTATAGATATTGCATTTGGAGACAAAAACTGATCATTTTGCACTTTCCTTTTAGCATTTGGCAATGGAGTATTTATAATACTATGACATAATAACATAATAATAATACATAATAATAATAATAATAATACACTAATAATCGAATCAAAGAAAATATAATAAAATCCTCGACAATAATCAATAATTAATAATAATAATCAATAAAATAATCTAAGTAAATCAAGTAATTAATAACTAATAATAATAATCAATTAATCAATATACATAATAATAATAATAATAATAATAATAATAATATATATAAACATAATAATAATAATGAATGAATTAATATATAATGAAGGAAGTAAAATAATAATAATTACATACCTAAGTAATAACCATAATAATAATAATAAATAATAATAATAATCTAATAATAATAATAACTGAATAATAAAATAATAATAATAATAAAGTAATAATAATTCAATAATAATAATTTACAATTAATTAATAATAAACATGATTTAATTAATGAATAATATCTAATAGCAATCCACTAATAATAATAATAATAATAAATAATAATAATAATAAAATAACAAATACATCAATAATCCAATAACTATCCCAATTAATAAATAATACATAATAAATAATAATTCAATATACTATAATAATTAATTAATTAATGCACATAAATAAAAATAATAATAATAATAATAATAATAATAATAATAATAATAATAATAATTAATAATAATAATACATAATAAATAATAATAATAATAAATAATAAATCAAATAAATAATAATAATAATAATACATAATCAATATATAATAAAATAATAATAATAATAATAATAATAATAATAATTAATAAAATAATCAAATAATAATAATAATAATAACAATAATCAATAATAATAATAATAATAATAATAATAATATATAATAATAAAATAATAATTCAAATAAAATTTAATAATGAATAATAATAATAATAATAATAATAATAATAATAATAATAATAAAAAAAAAACCACCCTGCAATTATGAACATTAAGGGTTAATAAATGAAGGGCAATGGGTAATGTTATGGTCAGTCAGTAGTCAAGAATAGAAAAAGTAAATGAAAGGAAAAAATTAGAAGGAAAAAG